CAGCCATACTTTACATTCTAAACTTCAAATTTGTTAACACGTTGACGACAATGCGAGTTTTGGCTTTTTTGGCCACGTGGGACCGCGGCGATTTTGCGGGCGCGCCGCCTCAGGTCGTTCAAGCAGATTTTGAGTGATAAATACATAAATAATGATCAATACAAAACCAGATCAGTAAATTGTAATGAGCACAACCTACTCGGAGGTACAGTAGCGGAATTTCGATCGAAAGACATGGAATAACAATGAAAAAGCGAAATTTTTCAGAACTAGCTGCAATGGACCTCAAAAGCAATTTTACGTTGATTATTTCAATCAAAACACACATATTGTCATCCCTAAGGTTCCGTATCTACTTCTACTACTATTTAAATCTTCACATTCATAAAAAGAAAAAGTAAACGAAAAATTTATTAAACTGAAGATTTCGTATGGTTCAGAAATCCTCCTCTAAATTAAAGCATACGTGACCATTCTATGGGCCACTATGTTTGTAGCTACGTCAAGGTCTCTTCCATGGAATAAATACAAGAAACTTCTAAAAGAATCAGGCGTGCGCGAAAAAAATGAGTGTAATGGGTGCGGGGGATATATATCCCGCACGGTCCGACATGGCCTGCAATGCGCGGGATATATATCCCCCGCGTTGTCGTCAATGTGTTAAACAAATGGTTTTTATGAGCTTATCTGAATCGAAACACCAAATGTTACAAGATCAGGAACTGCTGTTGCGTTATCAAATCTACATTCAACATCATCTCTCTCCCACTGCGAGGCTCTCCTTACTGCTCCACTCATTCCTTTTTTAGTTAACCTAATATGATCGTACCAAGAACCCCTCCTACCCAGTCCCTTTCGTCCTCTTGTATATCACAACACTACCGCATTTCTTACTGGGAAGGAGGTGTGTATTACTTGTCTTACTCTAGTTGAAGCTGTGAAAGAGGAGGTTTCAATTTGATGGGTTTTCCCAGAATTAAGGAAAAAATGTGGAATTGTCGAAATATGAGCAATTGCTGTCTCTCGTCTGTCATACACTCCCCCTCCCTCTCCCGCTTGACGACAGTGTGGAGGAGATCTCAGAATCATGTACTACAGAAAAATTCGTTGTGGTTGGGGTGTGGTGCTGAGTGGGGAGAGGAGTTGGGGAGACCTCTTTAAGACGGTGGTCGAAGGGAGGAATCGTGAAATCTCGAATCGGAGCAACGGCTGACCCTGCCTGCGGTAAGGTTCTCACTTCCTCAGCAA